TGCAATACCCCCAAACCCATACTTCAAAAACCTCCCTTTACCCACAAAACCCCTTAGCTCTCACAAGTAGTTGGCCTATCCAATTTCCATCCAAGAAAACAACACATCAGACCACACCAAAAGAAAACTAATGCAATACCCCCAAACCCACACTTCAAAAACCTCCCTTTACCCACAAAACCCCTTAGCTCTCACAAGTAGTTGGCCTATCCAATTCCCATCCAAGAACCAACATACCAAACCACACCAAAAACACCAAAAAAACTACTGCAATAACCCCCAAACCCACACTTCAAAAACCTCCCTATACCCACAAACACACACACACACACACACACAAAACACAAAACCCACACACTAACAATGGCCAAAACCACAAGGATGCTCATGAGAAGATCAATCTCCACCTTCCTCCAAGATTTCCACCACTTCACCTCCACACCGGCCCTCTTCGCCCTCCCCTTCGCCCTCTCCACCCTCCTCTCCCCACCCCTTGTCTCCTCCTCCCGTTTTTTCCCCCCACTCCACGCTCGTCTACAAGCCCTCCTCTTCGCCTCCGGCGTCCGCCCTTCCTCCCGACTATTCTCCTTCCTCACCCTAAACCTCTCCCGAGCCCTCCTCTCCTTCGTCTTCCTCCTCCCCTTCTCTCTCTCCTCTCTCCTCCTCTCCAAAGCCTTCGTCATCCGTGCCCTTTTCCCTCGACATGGCACCTCATCATCATCATCCGAACACGACACCACCCAAAAAAAACCCGTCTTTTTTTCTTGGATCACGACACTCAACCGGCTCGTCGCCACCCAGTTCTGCAACGTGCTCGTCGTTTTCTCAGCCAACGCCACGTGCCTCTCCTTGCTCGTCGCGTGCTTCAACGCTCTCGATCTCTCGGGACTTTCTTATTCCGAAAACGCCCTCGCCGGGGTCACAATGTCCGCAGCCGTGGTCTACTCGGTCGTGGCGGCCAACGCTTACGTGGCGTGCCACCTGGCGCTGGTCGTCTCGTGCGTGTCGGGTCGGGCCGGGTTCGGGCCGATTCTCGAGGCGTGCTTTCTCGTGAGTGGGAGGAGACGAGCAGCATTGGCTCTCGCCGTGTCGGCGAACGCGGCTTTGGCGGGAGTCGAGGCGATTTTTCGGTGCCGAGTCGTGAGGGGTTATTATTATTACGGTCGGGTGATGAGCTGGCCGGTGGTTTTGGAGGCGGTGCTGATCGGCTACATGTATTCCGTGGTTCTTGTGGTGGACGCCATTGCTGGTTGTGTGTTATTGGAGGGATGCGGGAGAGGTTACGAGACCATCGGTCGGGAAAGAGATCGAAGAAGGTCGATTTTCGGGAAAGGCGAGTCGATAGAGATGGTGTTGTGATGTTTATTCATTTTGTTACGGAAGAAAGATTTTGTACATTTGTTTCTTTTGTTTTTTTGTAGGATCAAACTTCTTGTTTGGAATGGATGAACATCTTTGACCATGCTGTAAGTAGAAACTTATGTTGTTTTTTTATTCTTTTCAGAAAATATAGGTACAAGATTTTCCTTAAAGCTTGCAAAGAATGTAGTTCTGAGCAAGGTTGGACTGTACCATACAATATATGCCTGAAAAATATGAGAATTTGAGTGAAAGTGACAAAGTCTCATGAGTTCTAGATAACTAGACTAAATCAATACTCCCTACATCTTTATGTACAAGAAAATTACGAACCGGATCGACCCGATTACTGTTACAGGGGAACCGGACAAAGTTTTACGCTACAACAAACAATTCGTGCTGAACCTAAACAATGGGTTAGACCTAATTATGTACAAATGTCCAATGGTTCATTCTATCTACTAATAAATAGGCTTAAGAAACTATTTTTCCAGCTGATGTGTGAATGGGATGCCGATACACTGGAGCAAATGAACTCGGTTCTTTCCAAACATAGTACGAGGCCATGCGTGCATAAACGGTACAAGCTCAACCCACATAACACATGTGACTTTCTCAACACTGATCCATGGCACGAAATACGTACATCTTCTCGATAAATCCATCTTCTCGCCAAACAAATCGTCAGCCAGATAAAAAATAAGTAATATTTTTTCGACACTTACGTCAGATTGGCCTCCTCTACTCCAAGTCAGATGAAAAATGCCACAAGATACTTTCAAAATTGACTTCTCTGCAGAAGTGTAAATATGGTTCAAGTCCCGAAAGCACCATCTTAGCTCTGATTCCTGAAAGCCCATCAAGATCAGAGGTAGGCCTGTGGGTAAGGTTGATTCCAATAAAATAAATTTTTTAACTCTCAGGTTTTCCGCCTTTCCTTGTCAGGCTAATCCCTTTTGCATTCTCCATTTCGGCCTCCTTCTGAGCTTTCTTCTTTTCTAGTTCGGCCTGTTTGCAGTTTTCGTCATGAGCTTTCCGGAACAGCCTCACAAAGTTCAAGAGGGTTTGCGTAACTGAAAGGCAATTCATGATTTGATACTATTTATCAGCAAAACTTGTTATGTCAAAAGTATTGAAGGGGAAGAAAATATGCGTTTTGTCAGTGTTTACCTTGCTCGAACGGGCATCGGGCAGGATCTTCGCCGAAATATAGAGCCAATGCATCTGCATTTTTTCCCTGCCGATCAATGTAAAAACATTTACTATTTGCCAACACAAATAAATCAGATTCTATTGCATTATGTAAGATACATCGTTCGGTAAGAAATGTACCGCAATAGAATATAGACTTGTCACGGAGGACACTTCAGTCTCAGCAATAACAACAAATTCATTCAATGTCTGTCACACGAAAAAAGTTCTCTAATTAATTAAAACAAGAAAAATATGCTACTGGAGTAAAGAATTTATAAAGCATTACTATTAATGTATGATGTATATAAATTCAGTAGAAACCGAGTAAAATGGATCCTGAAAAAATACCTTGCGGAAAGTGTTGGATACAGGACCATCATTTTCCGAAGCATCCAATTCCAGCTTCACCTTTTCCAAGCCTTTGATAATGGCTTGCATTTCTTCTGCCAAAGATTTTAATTGTATCTGGCCAAAGAAGGAAAAGGATAAAAAGAAAAAAAAAAAAAAATAAAAAATCGTCACTCTTGAAGTTGTTTACAGCTTTCAAAATTATTCACTATGAGGTAATTATTATGAACCTTTGAGGCCGCTTCCAAGCTGACGAGGTCTTGATGAAAATCCAAAAGACCGGGTGCCTTTGACGCTAGCTTCTGATAAACAAAAGGAGATATTTATTGCAAGCACAGCTAGATTAACTACAAGGGCGCTTTTTGATTACGCAAAAAGCAATCTAATACCAGTAGAAATGTGAAATTCTAGAGTTGCTTTTGACAAGATAAGATGCGTCACACAAATTCCTAAATAGTTTGTTAAGATGTCCAACTTAAAATTTGTTAAGGCATTGAATATATCCACAGCCAGTATGCATCAATTAAGAATATTCCTCGAATCCGTGACTAAACTGAACGGTGTGATTGATACTTCCAAAATTTAAGGCTCCATACTGGTATTTTTGCACACAAAAGGACGAACATAGATTCTGAACTAAAACATCAATAATGAAATTGGAACATAAGAAGGAATTTTATCAATACCTTACAAAGGTAATGCATGAGTGTCATCTTGCTGTTGGATGCGCGTGTATCTGTGAGTTTCAAAAGACTATCTAATTTGAATCCAAGAGCAGAACCTGTCAGAAAGTTCATAATCAATTACAGGCATTTATAAACCCAAAATAACTAACACCTTTGTACCACAAACTGCAATATTTAAATCCAGAAAATTTATCCACTACACTTAGAAACCAATTGTTTGAACTTTGAAGTTACTAATGCCCAAAGGGTGAAAGATGTTAAATACATGGTGTTTGATTCATAAAGATGTAGTGGAAAGTGCGGACTATAGTGGACCAAAACACGTGTAAAGACATGGATTTAACTGCAATGAAGGTTCATGCCATGGAAAATCAACTACATTATGCTTAACCAATCCATGAAACAGAAAGTGTTCATCAGCATTACAGATAACAGTTCACACGGATTTGAGACGCACAATAATACACTGAATAAACCCCGCATTTGTATATGTAGCTTCACTAGTTCTGACCAGAAAGGTTTATACCTCTGGCAGTTCCATGATTCAGTGTATTTCCAAGAAATAAGATTGCCTTCATAATCTCTTTCAGTTTGAGGGATCTCCGGACCTAATGAATTGTATGATGCTAAGTTATTATGTCCATCACCGTTAAAAGCAAATCAATATATTCAGCAGAAATTTCATTTTACCTCTTCACAAGAAGAATTTACTAGGTTCAAGCTTTTCTTAAAATCAGAAACCTGGGAAATCAAATGCAAAATTAGATAACTTCCATATCACTGTGATTCTTACAGGTTCATATATACCAAGCCAACCTGAAAGTTGAATTGAATCTTGAATAAGAAAACCCTTAATTTTGCTTCCACTCGTGGCACCTTCATCAGCTCCAGGAAAAACTGAAAAAGTAAAAATTCAATTATCCAAGAACACATCCTCTTATTCAAAGCAGCACAGATATAGAGAGAAGAGAAAGAAAACAATGCAGCTCAATCCTACAGGCAGACCACTATGATGATAAACTAAATGCGGAATAAGGCTTATGATCCAAGTAATACACTAGCCAAATTCCCTTGGTAACCATCACAAAGACATTAAACAATTTTCAGTCAGCCTACAAGCATTTAATAACAATTTGTTAAGAAAATCAGGAAAAAAAGCACTCTATGGTGGCAGCTGTCTATGGACGAATCAAATTTGACCGCTTAATATCGCAATTCCTGGATATATATCATTTATAAAGTTACAACATCCTAAATCAGAAGGGGATTTACTATTGCAAAATATCATTTCAGAAGCATAGTGCAAACAACATGACCTAATAAAGTAAGTTGGATCCTGTTCACAAACCTGTTCACACTTTCCCAGATTCTCCAAGTCACCTGTGTAGCCCTAAAAATGTTACAACGACAAAATTAATTAAATAAATGTAATGGCTCCTTGGATCATAATAAAATACTTTGAATAGTAGGACTTGCAACAAAAATGCACACGTAAAGTTATACCTTAAGAAGGTCCATCTCTTCCTTGGTTGGGCAAAACTTGATTAGATTTTCTACTTGATCAGCATCCAAAATTGATTCATCCAGTGCAAGTGCTGCAGCCTGTCAAAAGTCAAGCACCCATGTTGTTATAAACTATAGGGAGTAAAAAAAAGTTAATGAAGATGGAAAACCAACAAAGTCAGTAGGTATGACCACCTCCAGCTACAAACTCTTGGACGATGCAAAGAAATTTTATAAAAGTAAAAAATAAAAATAAAATAAAAGAACAAGGAATAATATGAATACACTTTTCATTGTAATATGAATACACTTTCCATTTTGGGTTCATCAAAAAAAGGAGCTGCATTCCTGATCTTCCTTCGCTGAGCTAAAACTTATTTCCTCTCATTATTCTTCATCGTTACATAATATTCTATCCTCTTGTTTTCTTTCGCAGGAAATTTCAGATGAATGGGCGATTAAATATCTTTGTTTATATCTAGCATGTCAATCCTAAGTAACAAGAAAGAAGAGAAAAAGCACCAAATAAAGCTACTTAGAGTTGCTTTACTTTAGATAACTGCTTCAAGCATCCAAAAGATTCCAATAAATAGAAAAAAAAAAAAAAAA